GGGGAGGGGCACTGGGAAGAGGGGCACAGGGGAGGGGCGCGGGGGAGAGGGGTGTCGGTGATGAATGTCAGGCAGCCTCCACCTTCGGCAGCCCCACTTGACTGTGAGGTGAAAATTGGGCTCCCTGTGCCCCCGCGGGTCACTCGCAGGAGAGGGTCTGACTGGCGGGGGGGGCGCGGGGCCGCGGTGTTAAGCAGAGGGAGTGGCTGTGAGGAGCTGATGGCCGGCTGCCTGAACAGGAAATGGAGGCGGCAGCCACAGGCGGGCCTAGGACCAGAGGCTCCTGGGTGCTGAGAGCGAGAGCAGCCCTGGGCTGAGGCGGCGGCCGCAGCTGCATGCGGGTTGGAGGGTTAGGAAGCCCCGTCACTTCGGGCCTGGGTTCTACCCACGAGCATGTCACACGGCCCCGGGCTTGAATCTGAAACATGGACAAGACCACGAACCAAGATGGGCATTGAAGCAACGCTCGTAACAGAACTGGAAACGCCTCTGTGCCCCAGTGACGGGCAGAGGGCCTGTGGTGCGGCCGGGCCTGCAGACACGGCAGAGAGATGGCGGCGCTCATGGCGCCCGCGTCATGGCAGGTCAGGCGGATGTGAGCCTGTTTCCAGATGATTCCTGCGCCGTGAGCATCACCGTGGAGGGAACATGGGACGTTGTTCTCAAAAAGGAAATAATGTGTTGCTTTTGGGAGAACAAATGGGAGTTCCCACTTCTTCCCGCGTTTGAAGGTATTTCTTCACCATCGGCTACAGCGGGCGGCACAGGCACATGTAGACACGGAGTGACAGCATGCGACCGGATCCAGGCCAGCACTGCTCCCAGGCTACGCTACGTGTGTGCTAGTGCACACACACACACGTGTGTGTTTGTGTGGACCGCTCCCCAGGCTACGTGTGTGCTAGTGCAGACACGCACATGTGTGTTTCCATGGACCGCTCCCCAGGTTATGTGTGTGCTAGTGCAGACACACACATGTGTGTTTGCTGCATCAGCTCCAGAACGTGGCCTCGGAAGCAGGGTGGGAGATGGACACACAGCGCTTGGTCGGACGCCTGCCCGCGCTCCTGCTGGTGGGACTGTCACCGGGTGACCCTCGCACAGAGCCGTTCCCGCTCAGGCTCCGTGTGGAACGGGAAAGGATGCTCCCTTGGGGCCCAGCCAGGTGAAGTGGCCAACGGGGCGCCTGGTCCTCCGTTTAAGGGCACTTGAAGCGAGGCGCTTCCTTGGCGTCCCCTCAGCTCCCGATGCCCTGGCGGACGTCGGCCTGACTGCACGGCGGCCCAGGGACAGCCCCCGGCCTCTCCTGCAAGCCGCCTGCCCGAGACCCTGTCCAGAGCCGCACCACAGGCCACGTGCAGCTTCGTGAGCCGTGCTCTCACGCAGAGAGGTTACAGGAGGGACACGTATGTGCATACGTGATGAGCGAAGAGATGGACAGGTTTGGGCGGCTGGCTCAGGGGTGGGCGTAGCGAGCGAGCGATCCTCGGTGAGTCCCGGCCGGCGAGTGACAGCTCGGCTCCCCGATGCGGACAGCCCCATCTTCTCTGGAGGAGCCCAGCCCGCCCCAGCCTGCTGGTGACCATGGGAACACTGTGCTTCCCAGGCTCCTTAGAAAGGGGCAGATGTGCTGGCATTGAGCTTGACACCCCGAGTCTCAGGCAGAGCCCAGACCCCGGCCACGCCCCTTCCGGGCTTCCTTCCCGCGGAGCAGCCGCTGCGATGTCTCCTTTTAAAACGACGGCGACGGTTGTTCTCACACTCAGTCCCGCGTCCCACGGACGGAGCTTTCGGAACCGTGCGTCCGCCTTGTGAAACATGGTCCTGTCGGCAGAGAGGACGCCTTCCCCCCACAATGGGACTGACCCCGCAGAGCAGAACTCGTCCAGAACCTTCCATGGCGGCTCCCTTCTCCCGTGTGAACTTCCACGGATTCTTCACGCCCAGAGTTTAGGTCTCTCCTCGGAGGCCCACTCTGATCTGGGGACGCCTCCCCGCGTGCCCCGGGGACTTCTGCACACCCAGCGACGCTCCTGCCAGACCATCGTCGTCCCAGACTCACTGCGTTCATGCCCTGTGCCGGCTGCTCGCTGCCCTCGCTGCCTCCCCCCGCCCCGGCCCACCCCCCCGCACATACACACTCCAGGGAAACGGCACCGTGATGAAAGCCCAGCTCAGACTCCTTCCTCCTGTCTTCCCCCTCTGGGACAAGTGACCTGTTAGTGAGCCTCTGCGTATTGCTCCTTCAGGATCCATTGTCGTGTCATAGTTGCCTGAGAGAATGTCAGCCCTTGGCTGTCTCTGAAGACACATTTAAAATGGTGCCACGCATTGTGGAATCCAA